AAGGGATATAGTGGGGAAAGGAGGCGGGGCCTAAGGGATATAGTGGGGAAAGGAGGCGGGGCCTGAGAGGCATAAAGGGGAAAGGAGGCGGGGCCTGAGGGATGCAGTGGAAAAGGAGGTGGGGCCTGAGGACACCCACCCAGCAGCAGTTGCTAGTGCCCCGGAGGGAAAGATGGGGAAAGAAACAGGTCTCGTCCCTGGGACCCCACTGTGCCCTCTGGTGTTATTCCTCCAAGGACCCCTGTGTCTGGGCCCACAAGACGGGAACTGTGGCAGTAGAGACCCTTGTCCAGCACGCAGGGCTCAGCTGGTGTCTCGGTCCGCACCCCAAGGCCCCGTGGACAGCTTTCATTGATGAGCAGGACTGGGGAGCCCTAGCGGAACTGGGGGCCACACAAGGGTCCCCCAGGCTGGGCCAGGGCCTGCCTCTCGCCTCTGGATCTTTCCTGCAGCCCTTGCCCGGTAAGTCTCTGGAGCCCTGGCCACCACGCACGCTTCTCCACAGGGGCGCCCAGCCAGCGGGTACTCACTGCCTTGCTGAGGTCGTGCGGCAGATGGGCCCACTGCGGGTTGTAGAGAATGCAGTAGTCTTTGCCTTTCGGGCCCCCATTCTTGGAGGCCACGTGCACCATGCCATACTCACAGGCCACCTGCGGGACAAGGCTGGCGGTCAGAACCACAGCACGGAAGGCCCAGAGCCACACCGCCCCACGAGAAACAGCGCAGGACGGGCGCCCATGTACCCGAGGTGGTCTGGGATGCTTTCCCCTCTCGACAGGACAGACAGGGACGTGACCGTACGTGGTTTATAGCAAGGACGCAGACCGGCTCCCCTTCCTCAGGGAGCCCCAGGCTGCTGAACACAGGTGTGTCAGGTCACCACTCTGTGGCCCCCAGAGTTTCTGCACCAAACAAAGGGGTCCTACCACCTCCTGCGCCTCCCAGGACCAGTGGGCATGGCGGGAGGACGACAGCCACGGGCAGAGTCCTCCACGGGGAAGGAGGGCAGGACCCCAGCAGACCTGGCCCTGGGCCTGGGAAGGAGGCCTGGACGAGCCTCCACACCACTAGGTCTGAGTGGCCTTTGACCCACAATCCCATGAGCACTGCCTGTTGGCTGGTACTCCAGGGGCACATGGGAACCCAGTCACGTGGCAGGTCCCGGATCAGGAGGATCCCTAGGTCGGTGTCCCTCAGCTCCCGCTGGAAGAACGGCAGGAAGCAGCTGGGCCAAGAGGCCTACAGGCACCAGGTCCTGAGTAGGGCAGGCTGAGATTGCAACAGGACATGCCGCCACACGGGACACCGTCTCGTTCCCCGCAAAGCCCCAAGCCCGCAGCGTCCAGCACGGCAGCTCACACTTCCCAGGAGGGAGAAGAACCACTAGGGCTTCAGTTCCTACGCTCCTGGCCTGCAGTAGCAGCTGCTCAGGAAGGGCCACAGGGAGAAGGCCTAGATCCTCCGCAGGAGCTCATGACCAAGTATAGGGACAAGGGACAGAAGCCAGCCAAGAGGAGCAGGGGCCACTGCACCCGGGGACAGAGTGGACCAGGGCACTTGCAGTGCTCGCAAAACAAGGTAGGAGCAGGATCAGGCCCTGAAGCCCTGTACACTTCCCAGGAGGGCCACAGAGTGGACCGGCCTGGACAGGAAGGGCCAACCCCTGCCTCTTCAATTTCAGGCTTCACAGAGCAGGATGGAGTTAGGAGGAAAAGACACGATTCCACACGCAGGAAGCTGACCCCGCTTACCATGCTTCCCACTGCGGGGACCACTGCGGACACTGCAGGCTCCGGTTCCCCAGCAGCTGCCCGCGGCCTGCACCGTCCTCCTTCCTCCCGCTCCCCTGCCCGGTGTCCCCTGCCAGTATCTAACAAAGACACCTCCATCTCTCAAGGATGCTGGTCACCAGAGGGTCTCACAGGAATGAGGCGCAGGTCCTAGCTGCCCTCCCACACTGCAGACCCTTGGTGCAGAACCCCAAGGGAGACCGGCGTGTACGGGGAGGAGGGGTCCCAGGAGAAAAGCCATGGGTGAGGCAAGGAGACCCATCCCCGAGCCCTAGACCCGCCCATCCCTCAGGAGCGCCCAGCCCTCAGCCTTCCATGGCTGCAGGACTCATTGGCACAGGGTGGGCTCCTGGCCCAGGCCTTCCGGGGCTGTAGGACTCAACTGCACAGGGCGGGCTCCTGGCCCAGGCCTTCTGGGGCTGCGGGGCTCCTGCCAGGCTGTAAACCTCCCAGGCAGAGAGAGACAGCCACATCCAATGGTCCCCAGAGGACCTGGCAGGGAAACAAACCACAGCCGTTCATCACATCAGGAAGAGGACAACAAGCCTTCGTCTGGACAGCTACACCTCATACAAGGCCCACACTACAGACGCAGATCCGCCAAGCTGGGGCCAGGGAAGGGGAGCTCCGGCTCAGCCAAAAGTCCCGATGGTCCCTGGCGCCAGACACCAACCCGAGTACCTGGGCACAAACTGGCTCTCCAACTGCCGGGCCCTCACTGAAATCACACAGGGTTCTGGCCTGGTCTGGGAGCTTCTGGGTCAAGGCCCTCGAGGCCTCGGGGTGGCAGCCTGGTGGAAGCCCCAGTCCCTGCAGTCCCCTGGGGGTCTCAGCACTTGGCTAATGCTTCCTTCCTGCTCCTGACCTGGCCCAACTCCATGCACCTCCCGTGTGACCTCCAGAGCCGAGGCAGAGTTAGGAGCCCCTTCTTCCCAGTTCTGCCCATCAGACTGCCTGCCCATGAGGGCCCCCCTTCCAACACAGCCTCCCAGTGTTCAGAATCCCTCGAACCTACTCCAGGAGGGATGTTATGGGTCACAGCAGAGGCCAAGAATCCACAGTCAAGGCCCACCTTCTGTGTTTGTAAATAAAGTTTTATTGGAACGCAGCCAAGCCCATTCCTAAGGAAGAGTCTCCGGCTCTGGAGGTACAACAGGAGAAACCAAGCCATCCTACCAGAGGCCACATGGGCCACAAGTCCCAGCAGAACTACTGTCCAGCCCTTCCCAGAAAACACTTGCCAAGCTTTGTTCCACGGGATCAAGGACTTTGGTGAAAAGTGTCTTTTGTGTAAAATGGGAACCCACAGAACTGCTTCTCTCTAAAAGGGTCATTTAAGAGCACAAAAGCACATTCATGCATTTTCCTCGGCACAATTGGCAAAACTGGTTTTCCGTTAAAAAACAAGCCTGTGGCTCTATCAAAGGCCAGAGAAAGCAGCGTCTCACTGTGAAGAGCTTCCTCACCTGCCGAGTTAAAGGAACAGGGAGCAATTCTTCAACCGCCACAGCTCTAATAGGGCCCTGAGTTCTAGTCGGGCCGACAGAAATGTGAAAGGCCAGCCAAAGCTGGGGCAGGCTGCGAGGACAGGCTCAAAGCCCAGGCCTCCAGCTCGGAATCCTCCCCAACTGCAGCGCAGACGTTTCGCAACCACACACAGCTTTAAAACCTTCTAGGAGGCTTAGAAACCCTGCTTCAGAATGACTGTGAAAGCATCTGAGTCAAGGGCCTTTGAAAGAGGCACGTGACTCCAGACACTGGACCTGAGGAGCTCCAGGAGCCGGGCCGGGTCCAGCCAGGTCCCCCAGCTCCAGCGAAGACCTGCAGGGGAACGGCTCCATGGTGGCAGTGTCTCACTGGGGAGGTCGATTTTCTTGCTCAGGGTCACCAAATGGTAGCAAGTGAACTGAGGACTGTCACCAAACAGGTTCCTGCCCTGAGAGCAAGCCTCATTCTTGGGCAACAGACTCCCATTTCCGCTGTGGAAAGCACCACCCCCTCCAGGCACGGGCATCTCAGGGTGTATTTACAATCAAGGTTCTGGGAGGGGAGGAGCACCTGCGTTCTCGTGTCCCTCTGACTTGGCCTTTGGCTCTCCACACTCCGGATAAAGCTCAAGCTCCCCAGACCACCCAGAATAAAGTCCATGAGCCCCAGCATCCAGCACCTTCCATGACTTGGCTTCCACCTGACGGCCTGTCCTCCAGCCAAGGAGGCCCAATGCTCTGCCTTCACCCTCTGCCTGAGGCCCCTCGTACCACGGCCCCCTCCTCTGTGCCCCTGCCTAGCCTCTCTCCGTGGCCCACCCACAAGCCTCCCTGGTGGTGACATCTTCCAGGTGGAAACCCTCCATTCCAGCATTATTCCACCCTACACTCCAGCCGCATTCACCCCTTGCCAGCCCCAAATAGCCCAACGGCTCTCACTCCTCCCAGCCCCTGCCCATGCTGCTTCTGCTGCTAACACCCTTCCCCTCCTGTCAACCCGGCAGACTCCTACTCAACCTTGGGAACACCTGCTTCGGGGCCCGGCGCGGTGGCTCACGACTGTCATCCCAGCACTTTGGGAGGCTAAGGCGGGTGATCACCTGAGGTCAGAAGTTCGAAACCAGCCTGACCAACATGGCGAAACCCCATCTCTACTAAAAATACAAAAATTAGCCAAGAGCAATGGCGCACGCATGTAATCCCAGCTACTCGGGAGGCTGAGGTGGGAGAATCACTTGAACCCAGGAGGCCAAGGTTGCAGTGAGCTGAGATGGCACCACACACACACACACAGACCCCTTCTTTGGAAAAGCCTTTCCAGGCAAACTGAGTCCCTCCCTCCACAGTGTTCCAGGATCTTCCTTCCACCTTTGGTTCTTCCCTCCTTCCAAATGTCTGGGGAGCTGTAGGTCCCTGGCTGCAGAATGGGGGGAATCCAGGAGGCCGAAAGAGCAGCTGGGAGTGGGGGTGGGGTTGTCAGAAAGCTTCTGCGGGGGTGCTTCCAGGGTAAGAGAAACGGCCAGAGAGCCCAGCGCCTGCAATGAACTGCAGTGAACTTCTGATAGCCAGGCCACAAATGCACGGACACACTCATTTGGATGCGACAGGGTCACTCCTGCTGTGTCGAGGCTGCACTGGGGACATGGGGGACAAGGGCAGCCACAGCAGGGGGAGGACGGTGGGGCTGGAGGAGTGGGACTGAGAAGGAGCCGGTGGCAGCGACGCCTTAAGAGTGAGAACTCGGAGGGAGGAGTCAAGGTTAAGGGCCGCATTTGTAGGGCTGCTCGGGGTACCATTCCCCGAGCCCCCAAACTCAGGAGAGAGGGAAAATTTGGAAATAAGAAAATAAAAAATGCAGTCAGTACAGTGCTATCTCATAGACTGTCCCCACGAGAACCTGAGGTCCTTTACATCCAATGATACACAATTAACATAATGAGGGCGTGCTGGCCCCTGGGCGCTGGTCACCCTGGGCATCATCTCCAGAATCCACACCATCGTCAGCCCTCCTTCTGCGGACGAGCAGCTGACGCTCCAAGCAGGGAATTCCCTTGTCCAAGGTCACGGAGTAAAAGATGGAGCAGGGATGCAGCCCCAGGGCAGGGCTGGGCTCTTGGCGGCTCCAGGGCGCTGCCAGACACTGGGAGACGCGCGGGACGCCTCTGGGTTCCCCACCGCACCCCCCAGGGTGAGGCTAGCCAGCACCGCGACCTTCCGCCTAAGGGGAAACTGAGGCTCGGCGCGGGGTGGGCAGCCGCCTGCCCAAGGCCACCGAGCCAGAGACAGGCGACCCCGGCGACGGCTGGAGACCCCGAAAAGAACAAGCAGAACGGAGGAATGGAGTGGGCACAAGCTTCAGACCCGGAAGGAAGTGAGTGGCGCTGCAGCCGCGGAGGGCCTCCGAGGCAGGAAAGGGAGACAAGCCGGGGACAGCCCCGCAAGGTCACGGCCCGGCCCCAGCACCGCCGGCCAGCAGCGCGGTGACCGCGGATCCCCGAGGCTGGACCCCCCGAGACGACCTGGGTCGTTCCTGGGCGTAGCCCGGGGCCCGAGAGGCCGAGGGGCCACAGCCTGCGGGGCCGTCGGAACCGACGCCGCGCTCACCTGGGCCGCGAGGAGCAGAAAGGGCGCCACAAGCCGCGCCAGCGCAGCCTCCGCCGCCGCCGCCATGTTGGCCGGTGCCCACCGCAACCGTCGACAGATGTTTCCCGGAAACGCCTTGAGACCCCGGGCCGCGCATGCGCTGCGCATGCGCACGTGAAGCGGAGAGGGGTCAAAGGGTGCGGGGTGGCGCCTGCGGAGAGCGGCGCGGCGCGGCAACATGGCGGTGAGCGCGCGGCGGGATCCGGAGCCGAGGGGCGTGGGGCTCGGGCCGCGCTCTGCGCCTTACGCGCTCTGCTTTCCCCGCAGGATAAGGAGAAGAAGAAAAAGGAGAGCATCTTGGACTTGTCCAAGTACATCGACAAGACGATCCGGGTGAAGTTCCAGGGAGGCCGCGAAGGTGAGGAGGCTCCCGCCGTCGGCACCCCTTTTAAAATTTTGAAATAAACCCAGCAAGAGCGATGATGAGGACGCATGCATGCCGAGGCGCCTCTTTTATTTATTCTTTTTTTTTTTTTTTTTTTTTTTTTTTTTTTTTTTTTTTGAGACGGAGTTTCGCTCTTGCTACCCAGGCTGGAGTGCAATGGCGCGATCTCGGCTCACCGCAACCTCCACCTCCTGGGTTCAGGCAATTCTCCTGCCTCAGCCTCCTGAGTAGCTGGGATTACAGGCACACGCCACCATGCCCAGCTAATTTTTTGTATTTTTAGTAGAGACAGGGTTTCACCATGTTGACCAGGATGGTCTTGATCTCTTGACCTCGTGATCCACCCGCCTCGGCCTCCCAAAGTGCTGGGATTACAGGCTTGAGCCACCGCGCCCGGCCTTTTTTTTTTTTTTTTTTTTTTG